TTATCATGTTGGCAGCGTTATCACGTAGAATGAGATGCACACTTGAGGTAAGGATGTTCCATTCACCCAGTGAATTTTTAAACCAATTCAATATTGCATTCTGTCTGCAACATTTGTCGTCTAGCCAGTGACCTGTTAAACTGATGACAGCTCTGTTGCTTGGTGAAGACGAAATGTCTGTAGTACGTGAAATGGATCCTTTTCGAGGCAGTAGTTCCTATATCGTTCTTCTGAATTTTGCTAAAAGATCGGGAAGAATCACCGTGGAGAAATGCTTGTGGCTGGGAATCTGCAACACAAGCAATTGATGTATAGGCAACTTTAAAATTGTGATGTGTTTAACTTACCTGATATTTCGGCTGCACTGTTGCCATTAATTGACGAAAACTTTCGTTCGCCATCATCGAAAGTGGCTGAATATCCAAAGCAATCATCTCAGCAATAGCGGTGGTAACTTCTTTAGCTTTGCCAGATTTTGTCGTTTGAGTAAGTCCATCTTTACTATATATTTCGATGCGGTATGCTTCGTGAAGTTTCGGATGCAGTTTCACATGATTAATCATCGCCGAATTCGTTGCATTCTGGGAGAGTGTGGCATTGCACTCGACACATTTGGCACTTTTTCCATCGTCAATTTGTTGGAAATATTCCCAAATTGCTGAACGCTTATCCCTCATTTTTTCTGTATTTGAGAATTGAATACTTCGATAACGACGCAAACTTCAACGCGAGCAACAGCGGAAAGAGAAAGCAAACTTGAAGAGCTTTGAGTGTGTTGGTTTATTTCCTTTAAATTCCGTTATAATTGATTACTTTCGTTTTAATTAATATAGTGGTGTTGAGTAATTGGCACGAAATACGCGTATCTGTCAAAAGATAAACAATTATAACGGAATTAAAAGGAAATAAACCAACACACTCAAACCTCTTCATAAAGGGATTCCGTTAAGAAGTTCGAAACATTTAAAAGACTAAAGCAAACTTATTTTTCGTTGCGGTCGGCGTGCAAAATCTTGAAAGTACACTAACACTGAGGAAAAAAATCGTACATTCAAATAAAAACTACAAGTGAGTTTATTTGGTGGAAAATTTAAACCGTGGCTTTTCATATCTGGACTAACAATAGAAAAGGAGCTATCAGTATTTGTAAAGAAATTGTTCTAATGCTCTTGTCCATAGGGGAAACTTTCTCCTACTCGATGATGGTGTTGGTTTGCGTGGGCGGCCTTCGCATTGTGATGATAGGGTCTCAGAACGGTTTGTTTACAATTGTAGCAAAAAATAGTCTGGAGGATTTTCAAGTATTCGGCCACCGAATAATGCATAGAGCATGTTTTCGGTTTTCGGCCAATGGACGCTATTTGGTGCAGCTCTAATACACACATTGTTATGTTGTAGGTTTACTCATTTACCATAGATTCTATTACATTGTGTGGTTATTTTATCGCTGTTTACAATTCGATGAATAGTACATTAAATTCAATTTTATGGTTACAATACATTTCATGCTATCTCTATGATTTTTTTTACGGGGAGCTTGATTCCGAAGTGTCTAAACTCAATGGAAATACTTTAAATAGCTAAGCATAATACAGGTTGGCTAGACATTAGTTAAGCAGAATACAGGTTGGTAACTGTTACTTCTATTATCAATTTCCCGCAAACCACAACTCAGTCATAGAAATTTGCATTACCAATAAATAGGGAATTGATTTCTCTGTTTTATTGTGGTGTTATGTTGCATTACTTAATGATCATTTTCTAGAAATAGGCGATGAACAAGTAAATTACCGATAGGTGAGTTTGACCTGCGCTGCCATTATTTTTAAAAGCGATAAGACCTACACAATGGAGTGACCTACACGTCTGTAGCAAGCGTTTTTGTGGGCTCTCAACTTCGTGGTCTAGATGCAGTTGGATTTATTACATCCTCTTTATATGTTTCATACAATAATTGTAATGGTGTAAACTTTCAGTTGTTCCCTGCTACAGGTTCCCCAGAAGGCATCTCACTGGTACTAAGAGCGGCAAATGTGGTCATTGATCCATCGAAAGCCTATTCATGAAAACCCATGATGAATGAGCTGTCCCAAGGCATGTTTTGGCGTAAAAATGCAATTGTCCCCTGCTACAGGTTCTTCCGGAGGCTTGCCCGGAGGTTCCGAGAGCAGCTAATATGGTAAATGATGCAAACAAAGTCTATCGAAAGCCTATTGATAAAAAATCATCAAGAAAGAGCGGTCGCATGCTCGGTCGCTTGACATTTTTGAGTGATTAAAAGATCTGACCACATTCAGAACCCTCCATCACATTCCAGGAAAATGGCCATATCTCGGTTTATTACAGGCTGATTTTAGTTCTTGGCATATCATTCTCTTTGTAAATGGTGTTTCATTTTATCCATTCACTAAAAATATCGATTTTTAACCGGTATTCTATAGAAAATCATATTACAAATTTAGCAAGATAGACAAGCCCTTCGGGACCCGGAATAACTCCAGTATCCGGTGACCATGGTTATTTTCAGGACTACAGCATAAAATAATATTATTTTTCCATAAAACAGCAAAAGGGTTTATCTTCCATTTAATTCCACTTAATTAATTTTGGTATCCATGACAGATACGTATTTCGACTACAATGTGCAGTCTTCATCAGTGTCATTCCCACTAAAGAACTTATCAAAATCTAACCCCCTTAAGTACTCATCCCCTAGGTAAAAAAGTCAAGATCATAGGTATAAAAATGAAACTACAATGTGTTGAATCGGAACCTACCTAACTAATAAAAACCAAAGATTTAAGTAAGCTAAAGGAGAAAAATCTATACAAATCTCTAATAAGGAAAATCCCCAAAGGCTTGGTAGCCATCATAATGAAGTAATGAAATTGGGTTGTTAGCGGAATGCTAAATAAAACAGCAAAAGGGTTTATCTTCCATTTAATTCCACTTAATTAATTTTGGTATCCATGACAGATACGTATTTCGACTATTTAGCATTCCGCTAACAACCCAATTTCATTACTTCATTATGATGGCTACCAAGCCTTTGGGGATTTTCCTTATTAGAGATTTGTATAGATTTTTCTCCTTTAGCTTACTTAAATCTTTGGTTTTTATTAGTTAGGTAGGTTCCGATTCAACACATTGTAGTTTCATTTTTATACCTATGATCTTGACTTTTTTACCTAGGGGATGAGTACTTAAGGGGGTTAGATTTTGATAAGTTCTTTAGTGGGAATGACACTGATGAAGACTGCACATTGTAGTCGAAATACGTATCTGTCATGGATACCAAAATTAATTAAGTGGAATTAAATGGAAGATAAACCCTTTTGCTGTTTTATTTAGCATTCCGCTAACAACCCAATTTCATTACTTCATTATTTTTCCAGTCGAATGCTTTTGAAAGAATTAAATTCGGACCATGTTTGACAAAGTTACTTCAGAATACTCCAAAGTTGACCATAAATCTTACACTAGGAAAATTTCAAAGGTTGTTTTTATCTGAGTACTGCGAACTCAGTCGATTTTATTTTTCAAGTGAGCTAGAAATCATCTTGAAAATCTTCCGAAGTTTCCAATTGTTTTGCTGAAACAGCTCACGAAATTGTATATACATGCTGTCAAATGAACTCATGGCTCCTCCTCCTCTGCTCCAGAAATAACGTATACATGGTGATGGGACTTCACCTGCCCACAAAGCTCACATATCTCTTATAAAGTTTGATTACATTCTTGTTTCAGCAACCCAGTTTTGGCATTATTAATATCAAATAAAAACACTTTTTCGAGCATCACGCTCGATGATTTACATTATCCGCCTACTATGGTTGATGTTTCGACAGTTTCATAATTATAATTCTTGATTTGTTTTCAGTAGAGGGCAACACCTTTACTTGTGGTTCAAACAGTAACTACCTACGTGACTTCTGAGCTCTTTTCAATGTTTGGCTCCCGTTTGACAGTTTGACTCGGCTCCCAGATGACAAGCATTTTGAGTTATTTCGCAGTACTCAGGTTTTTATGTGTCCCACACTTGAATTTTTGCAATGTGATCAACAAATGATAACTATGTGTCGGACACATACTTAATATGTGTACACATAAAAGCCATGTGTGACCACACACACTATTCATTTGACGCATAAATTGCATGTGTACTTCTATGTGGATTCTGTTTATGTGTCACACGAAAATCATGTTAAAATTCACATGGAAATTCGTCAGTAAAAATGTGTGAAATTTTTTTAGTGTAGTTATTTTGAGTATCCCCTATATTTTATACCTGTTCGCACGTTGTCCATATTTCATGAATCATTTTTCCAGCGACCCGAATGAAACCATTACAGCCGGTGGTGTACGTATACGCGTAGTGCAGGCTAACCTAGCATAAACCCTTCGAGTGTGGCAGCTACGGGGGGCATGGTTCTTCCTTTTATTTTTCCACCAACACCGATGCACTTTCGGAGGGGAAATTCCCATACAGGCACACAGCGATACATTTTCGGTTGTTGTTTTTTTCTTCCTCGGTTTCTTTTCCCGTTTCCCAGTCGGGGGAACTTTTTGAGACTTTTCAAATTTGTGTTCCTTCGTTTTTTCGGCATGATTCTCCTTCAATTGACCAAATCAGGTTTTCCGGTTTCTTTTTCGGTTCTTGGGTGTTGGGTCATCTTCCGTCGATGGTTATTTCCCGGGCGGTGGTCAGTTCGTAGAATGAGCGGTTAGAATCAGGAACGGTTTTTGTTAGATATTTTGTTCGTTCGTTGTGTTTTGTATGGTTACGTTTGTCGGTTTTCAAAAATTTTAGTTTTCGATGTTGTGGGAGTGTTATTAGCAGTTTTGTTGAAGAATAATTAGGATCAATTACCAATAGAATGAGCAGTTTCGGGATGTTCGGAAGTTCTTTTTCGGGAGATGAAATCCGCGAGAATCGAATGGAGCCGCACGGTAATTTGCATATTTTTGGCGCGAACGGGACAGATTCAACGTTACGAAAAATGCTATCAACCGACCCGTACACCCACACGGATAAAACCCAGCCGAATTCACCGTCATCTTCGTCACTGTTCGGTGAAAGTGTATTGGAAAATTTCACTTTACAAACAAACTTTCTCCGACGGCAGCAAAATCTTCAGGAGCAGCAGCAGCGTAACAAGCGGAAGCGCAAAGAATCGTCTTTTTCCTCCTGTTCATCGTCCTCGTCGGCGTCGTTGCTGTCCTTGGTGCCGAACACGGAACGAAGACCGTCGAGTGTGGCACCATCTACAGTTGTGGGTGGTGTTGGTGAGGAAAATCCTTTCGTTGTGGGTGATAGTGCCACCGTACGGGAAGAACAGTGTGCACAGCGGAAAAGTGAAAAGTCGTTGAGCTCGTGCCGATCAGCTGATTTGAATGAATGTTCTCCCTGTAGCAGCCGACCACGGGACAGCTCCAACAGGTCGATGAGACAGCAGGAAGTGCCGGATGGTGGTGATGACGAACACGATTCACCCCGGCGGAAACGACCAAAATACGACTACACACGTGATCAGATGTTTGAAGTAAATAGACTTTTATTATTCAGTTCAAGTGCTTTCGCTGTTTTCCTTTTTTGTGTGCTTTTATTTATTTCGCCCGTCGTAGTTGCTTTTGCTGATGTTATTTGCTGAAGTGTGTTAGCATTGTGTGGTGATTTTAAGGGAAAATTCATAGCTGTGGTGTTTTGATATGTTGTTTTTTGTTTTCCTTGTCTTCCGTGATGCATCGCAGATTTTTCAACCGTGGGTGATTCGAACGTACGGTGATCGAGCGAAAACGAAAACGATTACCTTGAAAAAACAGGCCAGGATCATCAGGGCCCTCAAGGGGCAGGAAATGAACAACCCAGATAGTTCTAAATTTCGATTCTGGGTGAAAACGAAAGGTAATTTATTCTGTTGTGTGCCGTGTAACTCAGGGTATTCGATAAATCTAGCTGATTTAAGGGGAGGGGTTGTAGGCAGATCTTTACAAATGAATATAGGGAAGATGGGGGCAGTATGGTCCCTCTAAGAAAAACACAATAAAACATGAAACACATTTCTAAATGATGATAGCTGTGTTGAACCTATGCTTTGGAATGTCTTTGATAAAATGCGGTGTTCAAAGGGGAAATGGCTCTAATGTTGGCCTTTGGGTCCAAAATTGGGCCCATCGCAAACAATCTACTATTTATCAATTTTATCAAGATGAACGCGTCATATCGACTAATGGCTATTTTTGGTCGCTATTGAAAATTTAGTCGATTGCTGAATTTATGTATGGGCCCAAATTAGAGGCATTCAGGCCGACATTACATCAATTTCCCCTACTCATTAAATTCATATGTTTGAAAAAAAATCAGTTTTTTCTCCGGTCAACAACTATGCGGGGCACTATGAGCACTAAGGTGGGCCAATTCAACAACCCCGTTCTCCCACAGCTCTTTAGATTCGTATTGATATCCACAACAACTGTGTCAAATTTTAACGAATTTGGCTACGATCTGGATAATACATTTTTGCACAGAAGTCGAATCGATTTGTGTGCTTCGATAAATGTATAGTTTTATTAATATAAGTCCCAGGTTTGGTGAAAACTAAGCAATTTTTAAATTTTTGTCTAGCAAATGATTATTTTTGTTCCCATACACATTTTATAGCTTTCTCGCAAATCCAGATCATCGCCGAATTCATTCAAATTTGGCACAGTTGCTGGGGATCCCAATATGAATGAAAAGAGGTGTGGGGGCCAGGTGTTGTGATCTGCCATATAAAGTTGATCCTAATGAGCATCATAGTAAAAGTTAAAGTTTTGACAGGTTTTCGATAGAAAATAACATTAGGAATCATGTGAAATAGAAAAATAAGGTATTTTATCAACTGTTACGTGTAAGGTAAACCGGGGAAAGTTGAAACGAAAGGCGTAACTGTTAGCGGAAGTGTGTAATCACAGTGATTATTGTTAGCAGTATACTATAAACATAAACGCATCCTATGACTGTCATATCATGCAGTTACAAACAGCTTAGCGTGCCCTCTGATTAATTAATTTAATTTTATATAAAACTTTCAACAAGCTTCTATTTCACATCTTCTAAAACAAAGTTGATTTTTTTAATGTATCCAGTTTTATGCATATGATGGCTATATCATACTTCTAGGTATACAAAAACCCAGTCATTTAAAGCATTTAAACTTTGTCCACATTTTTACACCCCATGGGGTTAATCGAAATGAGTACAGAGGGGCAAGTTGAAATGGTGAACGACACATTCTCAATACAAAAAATAATTTCAATTTGTTGGATGTAAGCTTAGAAATAGCGATTGGTGACCATAAAATATCCAAAATAAATATGAAAAACAATAGAACCATCTGTTTTGACTATGGAAAAGGAAGATAGAATTATAGTATAAACATAAAATAATTTTTTCACCAAAAAACTAAACGCAAATGCTAATTTAGCTGGTTAAAAGCTGCATAAGCTTGTATTTAGCTCTATAGGCTGTATAACCTGTTGGTTAAGAAGTTCTTTCCGATATATTTTATTATCTTCCTATTGTTGAAATATAATATGACAGACAATGAGGCAATACTACCTCAGGAACCATCAAGCCCACTAATTTATTTAATTCTATATAATGCTGATATAAGGCTCATATCAAAATTTAAAGTCGTATATGAGCATTATATTGCAAAAGGTCCCTTAAAGGACTTGTTGGTTACTTGGATACGATCATTTGACCAATACAACAGATTTATGATAGGATTAACTGTCAACAATAGAATGTATGGTTACTTCATTGTCACTTCATGGTTATTTTTCTGGATCTACTAAACTACCCACTACTTTCTTCAAGGGATACTTTTATTCCCATCATGGGTTTATAAAGTCCACGAAAGATTATTTTAAATATGAATATACATGTTTTAGGGGATAATAGAAGAGAATTTTCATCGTAAAACTGCTCTAATATATTTGTATCAACTTACCCTACTGTATACTGTATGGGTTTACTTTTCATGTTTCTTATTGTCGCGGCCAAAAGCTACTTTCTTCTACCGTTAGAGAGAGTATTTCGCTTTCTGGTTCAGACACTGTTTTTTGATTCTAGGAGCTACTTTTTTTTCTCCGGTTAAGGAGAGGAGTTTTCACTTCTAGGTCGAAAGATCTTTTGGATTCAAAAATGAGAAGAATCTGGCGTAACCTACGAACTTAGATTTATTTTCCATTCTGTACAAAGTGAGCTTAAATCTATGTGTTACATTAGCGATCTATAATTATGTAAAATCATTTCCTGTCACAATGGAATTTTCCATGTCCCTCTCAATACCGAACTTTTAGATAATTTCTGCTAGTTATAATCGAATTTCTACGCGGGCTTAAATGGGCTAATCCATGTGTTCGAGTCCTTATACAATATGTCCTTTTCGGAATCGGTATTTCTCAATATGCTCATGAATTTATTGCTTTTTGTAACTCAGATCCGATATGGCTCTACAAATAAGAATTCGAACATTTGTAACGTTTAAACATTAGATTATTATCCTTCGTGAAGGATGAACAAAGAGGGAAAACTAATCTTAATCTCCAAGCGCAGATATGTCGCGTGTGGACGTGTTTATCCTACTCGAGCGCATATGCATCCTAAGTAAATAGTGCAGTCAGATTATGTAAGCGAGCTGTCGTTGTTCTGCCCTAATTTTCATTTCTTTTCTTTGGCCTTGGTATCGACATCAGCTAAGACTTATGCAATTATGCGGGTTAGCTTAAAGACTTGATCCTAAATTAATTGCCTCGCGGTAACACTCACCTTTCAACGCCGTTACTTTTTCTTGCTCTTCCTTGTACAGATTTTCAGGCAATTATTGACGTTTTCTTTCATGCATAACGGCTTTCAGTTTCTCAGCTTCGATTTTTGTTTGGGCACGTTTTTTAGTCTTTTCTTTCATCAGCTCACGTGTTGCTGCATTCAGTTTTCCATTATCAATTTTCCTTTTAGCACACCTCTAAGATGTTTCCTTCCTCTGTTGATAGTTCATCTATCCTCCTTGATTCGTCGAATCTCTTCCAAGCGTTCACCAGCCGTAAGAACAGGGTAGTTGCGCTTGTAATTACAATGGTAACGATTTATTTTCGGAATTTCAGGACATTTCGTCCCTACATGTTCATTAGTAATGTCCATCAATATGTGTTTTTCTCGTTCATTCATATGTTCTCTAACGATGTTCGATCAGTGACGCAAAATATCATGACACTCACATGACACTCGTCTTCGTATCAACCGACTATCGCTTACAGATAGTTTTGTCACGCAGTGAGAGTTAGAGCCATGACAAACAACAATCACCAGTAATGTTCGCTGCTCACAAGCAAATCATTACACTCGCTGCTGATAATGAAAAGCTCAACGAAAACAGTGAAGACTTCTGCAGTACGATCATGAGAAAAAGCGGAACGACAGAAGAAAATGAAAACAATGCCTTCGCATCCCAAGTCCGTCTCGGCAGGCGCGAGTGTGTGAGCAGGCAACATTAAACGGAATCTGTTGGGCTCACTCACCAACACACTCACATAAGCAAGCAAAGCAGCAACTGCTTCAAAACGAGCACATATGAGTGTCGTGATTGTCAGGAATGACCAGATCGGTGATGGATCACAACAGAAGACGAGATTCACCAGTTGCTTTTTGCTTCTTTCGTCAACTTGATGGATGGTCATGGAGAGAGCTTCGACGAGCACATTGATAGGAATGTACAAAGCGTTACTACCATCAGCTGTTTGATGATGGTGATTGTGATAGGTCGCAACTCTGTGTTCGATGATTCCTCTGAGTTTCCTGTAGTATTGTGGAACGTATCATCCAGATAGCATAGCTCACCATCAGTTCGCAAAGATGTCGCTGTTCAAATGGTGATTCCTCAGCCACCATCTCAACCAATTAAATTTACATGCTGTAATGTATGGAGAGTTTACAGTGATATTGTTCGCTACGGTAGAAACCCAAAGTATCATTTCCAGGCCTTATTATGGTTATTTTAAGACTTATAAACCATTTCAAAACCATGACGAAGCTGAAATTGTGACTTGGGAATGCCAACATTTTGGATTATTCCAGTGTTACCTGAGTTATCGGTACATAATTCCAGTGATTGTTGTTTGATGTTCGTTCTGGTTTGCTAAAAACTTCGAAAGAGTAAAACAGCAAAAAGGGTTATCTTCCATTTAATTCCACTTAAATAATTTTGGTATCCATGAAAGATACGTATTTCGACTACAATGTGCAGTCTTCATCAGTGTCAAGACTTATCAAAAACCTAACCCCCTTAAGTACTCATCCCCTAGGTAAAATGGTCAAGGTCACAGGTATCGTGAGATTTTTCGTGTGGAGAGGATTTAGCATCTGTGGAAACTTCGATTCTGAGATGCATCTGGACTTACTTGCTATAAAAATGTTTTTTGGTATTATGAAATCGTTGGATCTTATAATGACATTTTGTACTGGTAAGTTACAAAAAGAGGTTGTAAACTATGTGTTTGAATCATGAAAATGTCTATGTCGCTTTCAGAGTGTCACAATTAGTGATTTTATTTTTCGTGAGCGTTCCCTCGGAGTGAATTGCTGATTGTGACGCTGTGAAAGCAATATTGACGGATTTTAACTATATGTCAAACACATAATAAACAACGTCATCATGTAACTTACAACTACTGTTTATTATTATTTCTTCTATTGCAATGCACTTGCTGTAGTTAATGCTGTTTTGATTAAATGGATGTATCCCTCAAACCTTGAATCCGTATATAACGTATGCATTAAAAAAAATTTGACTTTTTTTTTTCGGATGGCGATAAAAAAGCTAAAACAGATAATTTCTTTTGATAAGTTTCCCATGGAAGGTAATTATTTAAACTTACTTGCAAAAAAATTTTATGCCCTTGCGAGCGGCCTTCCGGCAGTTAACATTCGCCATGGCGGACGAAAATATGCGTGTAGGCATGTTTTTGAGTTCTTTCTTCGTTTTATTTATCAATTCCTCCTCAGTTTTCGCGACAAAATTGTTGGAGTAGATCTTACGCTTCAGGTTGGCCCAGAAATTCTCGATGGGACGCAGCTGGGGGACGTTGGGCGGGTTCGCCGACTTAGATATCACATAGATATTCAGCCGCTCCATCTCCTTCAACGATCGCTTCGAGTAGTGGGCCGACGCCAGATCCGGCCAGAATACCGCGTCTTCGCCCTTATGGTATTTCTTGATGAACGACGCAACTTCCGGCAGGCATTTCGTACTATAAATTTCCCCGTTCACGGCCAGTCCGAAGCGAAAGAAGAGTGGCTTTGACATCCCCTTCTCGCTGATTGTCAGCCACAGCAGCACCTTCTTGGGGAACTTGGTGTGTGAAATGAACTTCACCTCGGAGCTCACTTCCTTCGTGGGGGAAGTAAAATACGAAGTGCCCTGCCAGTCGTTGCCATCCAGGGTGAGATAGGTCTCGTCGTCCATCACCACCGCCACGTCGCGATTCACAGGGAAAAACGAGTTGACCATCTTATTCAGCCGCTGCCGCTGCGTCATTACCTGCAGCTCCGAAACCAGTGGACGTGACTTCCGCTTTCTGACATGTATGTTCATGTTCGCCAGGTACTTTTTCACTGTTTGGCCGGTGGCACCGACCTCCCGGCCAAGCGCACGCATCGATGTAGCCACTTTTCCCTCGGTCTTCCTCTTCAACATCCTTTGGAGCTTCTTGTCGTTCAGGGTCGTCGGCCGTCCAGAACCGGGCTTTCTTTCGATGCTCTGACTGTTGTCTAATAGTGCCAAGATGTTGTAGATGTCGGAACGGGCGTATCCGGCGCCCACAAAGTGCCGCACGATGTCCGTTTTTGACGCGGCGGGGTGCCGTTCTTTGAACGCGCACACTTCTGAACGGTTAGAGTTCGATTGATAGATCTGTCAAATTTTATCTGCTGACTCATGGGTTACTATGATTGATGCTGCATGGGTAGTTTCGTCATTGCGGGTGAAGGTAAACCCATGAAAAAATCGATAATTTCTGTCTATTTTTTTTAAATGCAAACGTTAATGCGTTCCTGGAGAACGATCCTGAAGCTATTTAACGTGAATTTCTCCGTTGTTCCTGTGGACCACTCAGAAGCTGTTGCCTTCCAAACATTTTTAATGGTTTAAAAATTGACACATCAGCAGGTTGTGTAATTCTTGTGGTAGTAGGATACAACACTATAAGCAATATTCCTAAATCAAGACACAAATCAGTCACATCTGCTGCCATGTGAGACGAATGCCTATCAACAAAATAAATCACCGGAAAAAATACTCCTTTCTTCAAATAGAAAACGTAAAATTTGAAATTGGAGGAATCCATCCACCCAATAGTACTTTTTACAATGCTCCAGTCCACTGGAAATGTCTGCAAAAAGTCTGCACGAATTCTTTGCATTGGCAATTATTATATCCGCTGCAAAATTGAACATCACGATTATGTTCGTGTGATTGCTGGGATTTCGACTTCATAAATATTGCGGCTCCCACGAACAGCCAGTACTGCTTTGGATTTGGGGTATAGGAAGAAAGAAGTTTCGTCACCGTTGTAAATCATTGATGCATCCTGAAGGACCCCAAAAAATCTTCCAAAAATAATGTCACTTGCGATAACCAGCCACGAATGTCAGACTCGGATACCAACGCGCTAGCTGCGGAAATAGCTTCTGGCGTTTGCAGTGTGACACCATGTTACAGTCACCATAAATCTATGGAGGCGCATGGTATTTTTTTTCCCTTGGTTTGTTTTCCGTCGATCTTGTTTTCCGTGCTGAGCACCAATGCTACCGACGCCAGGGAGGCAAGCTCCCACACCTGGACCATACCTATCGACCCATCAACTCGTGAACCGGGGACCAACGGCTTTACTTCCCTTCCGAAGGAAGGCGTGTTCAGAGATGTTATGCCTCAGAACATCCCGGCGGCTCCGACTGGGATTGAACCCAGGCCTGCTGGGGTGAGAGGAAATCACGCTCACCACTACACCACCGGGGAGAGCCATTGTAGTCTAGACCAATAGGAGTATTGAGCGGAAACATAACACTTGATAACTTCAAAAAAATATAACTCAAAAACGAGATGAAACACATTGCTGATATTGTGGTAAAATGTGTAAAAAGGCCTAATTTTAAAAGGAAAAATATTAAACATATTGCGGCCTCTATCTACAAACCCTGAAAGAAATAAATAGGGTAGAGAACTACTTCGGCCTAATCGCCCATTTTGGGCCTATCGAGCAGAAAACTTCAAATGAATCCAGAGTTAACAAGCCAATAATGCGTTTAGTAAGATACTTGAGTTAATAAGCTACCGAGCGAAGTCAATGAGAACGCGTGATATGAAGGTTTGATCCATTATTCCCAAAAACAAAAGAAGCGCTCCGAGCGAATCAATTTTTATCTTCATCCGATAGGCCGAAGTGAATTCATTGGCGTTTCAATGGCGTTTCAATGCGTTAGGCCGAGTTTAGAATCCGTAGGCCGAGTTTGACGTCAAGAAGCAGTGTTAGACTTTTGACAATATCTCAACGATTGGTTTCTCTTTATCAAATCTTAAGGTAAATAAATTTGCAAGCCATCAGTTATAATAACATTCCGTTTGGTGACAAACTGCGCTAGCTAAAGAAAGACTAAGTGCGGGTTGTGCTTAATAGGCCGGAAATGGGGTAGTTAACCCTGCAATGTTTTAAAAAACAAAATCAATTTTTTTTTATATCATTAAATTTTTTATAAAAAGTATTTTTATTTATCTTTTATTTTATATTTTGATCTTCGAAATCGGTGCAGTGGTTCAAAAGTTATGAAAAAAATAATTGGAAGTGGTCACCCTTAGGAAAAAAAAAATACGGGTCTAATATTTTGCGATAAGAAACAAAACTATTAATTTTAACGAAATTCTGAGAACAACTATATCGGTTTGCTATGGAATTGGAAGTGAAATGAAATCCAATGCCCATGAAAACACAACCCGATAAAAATTCTTAATCAGACTGAGAATGTAAGCCTACCGCTTTCAGCATGGTATTGCTGTGCCTTTACCGAGTGAGCGTAGGGATTCCTCATTACTGAATATTGCCAGGTTTTCAATTACACTAAATTAAATCCTACACACTACTTAAGAGGTAAACTAGCCTATGGCTAAAAATCTCTCTAATAAAAAAAAAAAAAATCCTACACACTAGAAAATAATGAAAATGACATGCGATGTAATCTGTTACAAACGATAAAAATGGAGCATGTAATAAAATTGCACATGCAGTTTTATAGCTTTTGGTTTTGTAACTGCTTTAAACATGTAAATTTACAAGCTAGTCATTTAAGTTTAGATGAAAGTAATGTAAACTTACATGATGACCTGGTGCACATGTATATTTCCATGTCAAATGATGTAGAACTACACGTTTTCTCCTGTTAATTTACATGTTTCTACAATTGCTAAAACCTTAAATGACAAGATGGAATTTTTCTACCCTTTTCTGCTACGTACTTATTCTCAAGTGTTTTTATTAAAAAAAAAAAAATCAAGCATGACACATCTGGCAAAAAACAGTACAATGCAATACCGTTTGAAGTTTATTCTATGACTTAAACACCAATCATAATTCTAGTCTCATTTTGGATTAACCAACACCCACATTCTCATCCATTTATTCCAAAAGGTTTTACTACAAATAAACCGGAAGGATTCCAGAACATTTTTGCGTTCCATGATCAGGAAGAAAACGATGGTTGCCTTTTATACGCTCCAAACACGGTGGTAAGTGATTCTATCGATTCTATATTTGATTTCTATCGCGTCAAAATCTAACCTGAAGTAATTTCATTCCAGGAAACCGATTCTCAACCTTTTAAAAAAGTTGCTGTGGTTGAAAACTTCTTCAACATTATTTACGGAGTGCATGTTTCCTTGGGGAGCCGTTCAAGTCGACATGCTGGCCAGAAGAGAACCTACAGAACGGTAATGATGTTTTGATTTCTGATTTCAAACTTTCGATCATCACATTTGAATTCTCCACCAGATTACAGAAACCTATGCCTTTCTGCCTCGGGAAGCAGTAACCAAATTTTTGTCCCTGTGCAGTCAATGTTCCAAAGCACTGAGACCGCCATCTCCAATCAAGTTGGACCATGCCGACAGCCCACTAACTTCCAAGACTGATGAATCGTTCGATAGGGGAACTAAAGAATTTTCTGAACCCAAACGAGTTTCCACGCCGTTACAGCATAGTTTTAGCAATGGTAGCTCAAGTTTCGATAGATTAAATAGTGATGAAGTTTATTCAAAGTTGTTAGATTACTACAAAGTGCAAAATGAAGAGAGTGATGGTGCAACGTATTATCAGCTGCTGAAGACGTTCTACGATAATGTGAAAAAGAACCGAGCAGTAGAGTCGGTTAAAGATAACGCGAGGGAAGCCAAACAGCAAAAACTGGAACCGGTGGTGGATCTTACCGGCATGTCAGAGTCTGATAAGACGGCCGAGATCAATTTCTCAAATGTGAGTAAAAAAAGTGTGCCCTCGAGTGAAAATTGTGCCTTAACTGAAAACGAAAAAGTGCTTCGTGCAAATTTCGCGGAAGATGGAGGGGAGTGCTCGATCGATGAGAAAGAGTTGCACATATGTGAAGAGGCTAGTGAAGACAGCGAAAAAATGAGACTGAATAATAATCTAGACGATAAATTTAACGGCAGTGATGGTGACAGTGATGTTGAGCAGGTTGGAAATAATTCAAGGCCAATTACATCGACGTACCTGGAACTGACGAGGAGTATGGGTGTGGCAGATGATGACGCGCTGAATATGGTGAGTATGTGTAATTTTTATTTGTATCTCGTTGTAAATGATGGAGTGTCTGTTAATGCAATCATAAGAAGATGACAGAGAGGAGTGGGAAGTTTTACTGAAATCAACTGTTGAATTGATTTGGATTGGAGGCTGGGGAAAAAGAGCGTGTTTTTTTTATCGTGTGTTCCAGGGCAAAGACTCGGAGTTTAAGTCGTGAAGTCGTGGGAGTGGGAGGTATTTTCTGTAATTTGGATAGGCATACGCGCACTGAAGGAAGGAAAACTAGCATAGTTTAATACGAAGCGGGTGGCAACGCCCTTGACAAACCATGAAAATTGTGCCTTTTTCCTGTATGTTTATAAACCACGTAGATTAAGGCGGCAGGGGGTTGGCGAGTGTCTACGGCTAATACAAGTTTCCAGAAATTGGTGTGGACGATTGTCTACACAGAGGGAAGCAGGGTCTAAAGTTTATGGACAGTTCCTAATTGATTAAACAAAGCGCGTGATTTCTCAATAGAGGGGGTAGGGTATACGTCCCTAACCTCGGTCTAATATGCAGCCATCGATTACGTTTTTAATCATAACTCATCAATGAATTTACCTGCAAACGATATTCTACTGCTAAATGGTATGCTTAGATATGCTTATCATGTCGTTTGCTATCAGAAACCACGAAAAGTTGAAAAACTTACTTTTTTTAAGACAATAACTCACGAGGGAAATGTATGTAATATGGGTCTATTGTCCCCAAATTGGGTCTATTTATGGATGCAACTTCGTCCTATCTTGTTTGATCCTCAAAAAAACGCTCTTGGTAACGTTTTCTGATGTATTTTTTTTTTATCACTATCACTGTTAACTTAATGCTCTTCATTCCTCAAAACATTTCTTAGAGAAAATTTTACGAAAACTACATTAAATCACTCAATTTAAAAATTAAAAATTAAAAATTTCGCTTATCGTCTTTTGACCGCAGAATATCTAAATCAGAACATTGTGATGTTCATTATACAGGTTTGGCAGAAAAAATCTCCCTTCCTGTTCGTTCCTTATCATCCAAATGCAAAACAACATTGTTGACGTTACTCTTATTGCTATATGCTGTCAAATGAATTTCATGGGCCATAGTTAGGAACATAGAAAAGAAATGTGTCCCTAAAGTTGGGTCCATGTTTTACTTGTGAAAACGTTGTTAAACAATTAAAATAAACATAAAATATTCAAACAGCAACTGTAAGTTTTACGTCTAGTGTGTATTATCAGGTAATTCCAATCAATAAATGCCATAATCAGGCCATTTGATGATCGTCAGTCAACCTTCCCATCTTAACCTTATAAGTCATGGCGGCTAAAAACTCCGAACATTGTGATATTCTCAACCAGTTTTATTACTTACGAGAGCTGAAAATGTATTGAAATGTTGTGATATAAATTGATTTGTGTGTGGTACACATTTATCAGCCATCAGTGATCAATATTTTCCTTATTTTTTGTGTAATATTCCTTAATTAATTATTTATTTGCGTGATAGGCCGAATGAAAGGACTAGACCCACATTACATACCGTAACCCTATTTGTTTTTTTTATCGTTTGTGATTCAAAATTTTTGCTGTACCCAGGGTATCGAGTTTTGTTCTAAACCTGATTTATTAAAAAAATGCGATTTCCTAGGGTGAGAGTTAACGTTTCTGATACTAGAGAATTTTGAATGTCACAATCTTTTACACTTCAAAGCTTCTCAATGATTTCGAAAAAAATGGACATTGTAATCATTTTGGAATTTTTTTGTTAGAATAATGAAAATTATTCCTTCTCATTGTTGCCTTTTAGCTATTATTTCACGTCCAGCGTATGGATTTCTTTCCTTAGTTTGAGATTTTCCATTCACAGGACCATTATTTTTTCTTAAACAGCCTTAAATATTTTGGTGATGATTATTCATAACAAACAACTTGTATATACATTGAAATACATATATAAAAGGGAAGGGCCGGTCCAACAAGGCAACCGATTGAAGCGATTTGGACGGAGTGAGTGGGAATGCCAACTCCCTGTTGATAACATTTCGTGGATAAAGGGCGGGCTCTTCTCCCAACTCATTGGGGCATCTTTCTGTTTGGGGGCTTGTCTTTTTGACCAATTGGCTGATCAAGTTGCTGGAAGGAAATTCTTTATTGTCCCGTAGATGCGTATAGGCGACATTGCCTATCGATCTACCCAATCCGTTTTTGGCCCTTCATACAGCGACATGTTGAGGACAATCAGAGGTCATTAAGCTTGATCAAGACAAACAGAGAAGAGAGCCCATTGCTGTCGGACTTAGTTTCCATGCTACAATGGGTGGTAAACCACTATCATCTATCATCATCATTCACAGGACCCAGACTGTCAAAAAAGATAATATTTTAGTCCATTGTTTTGAATTATTTACCAATGTCTGACCCAACAAACAATCGTTTATTGAAGAAACGACTTCTTGGCAATTTTATTCTGCATGCTTAATAATACTTGCATTATTTTTAATAATAACTTCTGTTCAGGAGAATTTATTCAACCACAACACATTGAACTATTGGCGTTGTATAAGGTAAGTATGTCGAGAAGCTGTTATTCGACTTATATGAGTTGTAACAGAGCTTATTAGATAACATTTTTGATTATTCAGCGTTTATTAGATATCACTGCTTGTTTAGAGATGAACTAGCCTAAGGCTAAAAATCTCTTAAATAAAGAAAAAAAAAAAAAAAAAAAAAAGATATCACTGCTTCCTCTTAGTTAAAACAGTGATGCTCTGTATACGCTTGATTCTTATGTGAAGTAACGTTTAATTAAACATTATTATAAATTTATTAAACGATTATTCAACCCGAAAATTAGAGAGACGGGGGGACAGTGATGGGTGTTAGTTATTCTTTAGTAGTGATTGTTTTCATTTTTTATGACGTGGCACGTACCACACAGATATTAGAAGTTCATTTTCTATACATACAAAAAATACATGTCTCGTTGCATGGGATTCGAACCATGGAGCTTCGATCACAAGCAGCTTACCTTGTCATCTGAGATATCCTAGAGTTCATCATAAGGGCAACTTAATAATCAATAAAAGCTTGCTTGAAAGTGAATACCTATCAGCACTCCTGATCGCAATTCTAGCTCCTTCAAGGCCCTGTGGGAATGATTAATTCATTCATCGTTGTTTTACATGAGACCAATGTTACCTCTTCACCTCTCCAGTTCCAAGGAAAAGATGCTCGGTTATGTTTTAAACTAGATCAATGCATTCATTGTCGTGGGTCATGTGTTCTATGATTACTATTTAAATTAATTAGAAACAAACAAATAAAAAAGGGTTGAACTTGGGATTGAACTCACGACCTTCTACTTGGAAAGCGGAAATGATAACCATTAATCTACTGATATTGTCTTGTTGTTAGACTGAACCAGTGTTGTGGAATAATGAATCTAATACGTCGTTTATAAAGTATTTACAACGCATGCAATTAAAACATGGACGCATAGTGGTATAAGAGCTATATTGCTTACTGTATCCACTTTTATTCAGCAATATTGTAAAGCAATGCATTGAAATCCAATAATGAAGCTAGAAAAAAATTATTAGACGTCTAATAAAGTATGATTTTTTTTTTCTTTATTTAAGAGGTTTTTAGCCTAAAGGCTGGTTTGCCCCTGTAAATAAAGTATGTTATTAAATCAATTGAAAACAGTCGAATTAAAGCGTCAATGTATGTGCAAATTACACTTATTCAGTTTGTTATTAGATCAAAATTCTGGTTTTGAATCAGGAAGACAGTCAACGTTTATACAGCTTTTAATAGGAAAATTAATCAGATCAGACCAAACAGTGGAATACATTGATCTCAATGAGCTTTTTTCAGCACATAATTCGACAACTCGTTTTATTCAGCATTGTACACTGTAATACAGCATTTATTCTATATATATGCTTATTTGTGACTCTGAATTGTTTGTTTAGGAATTACCTGAATTATTTCATTGAAATGTATTAATGAAATTTCCATTTGAATCATCCCACAGTTTTCTCAGAGTTTTCATCAAAATTGCTCATGAGTAATCTTGAGATTCTCTGCAGAATGTTCTACAGCAGCGTTTGTAAGTCTATGAGTCGCAACCATGGGTCATGGGCAGCCCTCAGGTGGATCACAGAAATGTTGACAACTTGTTCGTAAGCTTTTCAAATTTTATACAAAATTTATCTTATTTTGAATTTATGTTGAGATAATCCAATCTGAGATTCAATAAAAAACTGCTTCTAAATCATATATGGATTTTTGAGGTTAATGGGTTATTTAGATTTTTTTATGAATGTTTTGGTGTTTTCAAAAGAGATCTATAATAATAATTTCAGGGCAATTTTGCTATTTCAAAGCCGATTTGCAAAAGTGTGCTCCTAATACTCCCTTAAAATGTTTCCTTAAGATTTTTGATGTTCGCCTTATAATTTACTTTGGAATCTTCCTTGTATTTTCCATGAAACTATGCATAGAATTTGGGTTTGTCTCAAAATTCATTTGGAATTATCCTCAAAAACACATTCCTGTTATCAAAATTTACATGGAATGCTTGTCCAAATGCCTTTGAAGTTTTCATCAGAATTCCTTTGCAAATCTTGTTAGAATTACCGTGAAACGCACATCAGGATTCCTATGAAAAAAAATGTTCTTAAAATTCCATTGAATTTATCACAATTTCGTTTGGAATATTCCTTTAATACCAATGGAATTCTCGTCAGAAGTTATCCTAGCTACTATTACTACTACTATTTACGAGGCATGGTCCTCAGCATTTCCTAAATAGTCTACTCTTAGAATGCGGCCAACAAAATTATACAGCAATCCCCCGAAGAGCGTGGTGTCCATTTACGTTGTTTTCGAGTGGTTCCATTTGCGTGGGTGCTGTGTGTAAATCGAGTCCAGTTTTTTCTTCTGTTCGGGACATAAATCCACTGCGACCACCCAACTAACAATTTTCGCAATGTAAACG